GCTGGATATAGGGTGGTCGGGTATATAAAAGAGGGGGACAACATGACAAGGTAATGTCTGTGTAGATAGTGAGTAATTGAACTGCAGTCAGAACTATTATTGACGTTCGTTGTTATAGCGTTTGTTTAGCGCGATTGTTGAAGTTGAGTGTATCGGTAAAGTTATATTCGGAAAGAATAAACCAGTTTTATTAAGTAAATACTTGTGTCGCTAAAGTTTCGTCGGAGACGTAACAATGGAAACAATAAAGTAAAGTAATGGCACTTATAATAGTATACAGAGTATGAAACATCAGCATTCAGTATATGACATGGTTTTTGAGTTGAAACAAAGAAACTCACTAAAAATGAAAAATAAAACCAAAGAAAAAGGTAGCAAAAAGATGTTTATAATAGTCTAGAAAATGAATCAAAGCTAGGTTTTTGCAAAGCAAAGTAAACATAAAACTGTAATAAAGGTAAACTTAGCTGAAGATGCAGAAATGTCTGAATGTGTGTTCACAAAGTAATAAACTTATGGTTTTGAATAAACTGTGCATACACATCTTAGTCCTAAATAAGTCGAGAAAGCCCATAGGAAATGTATTTAGTATAATGTTAATTTTTTCAGGAAGTTACACTTGGGTTAAGTGTTGTTTGTGTGAAATTCTTTCCAAATAAAAAACTAAAGTTGAAATCAAAGCCTGTTGAAGCCAGTTGTTATGTGATGACAACAACATTGTGCCATTGTGTAGCACACTTGTTGCATTAAAAGTTTGACTGAGTTGAATAAAAGCCACCTCGATAGTTTTGTTGTTTAGCCAACCAACGAATAATAGGAGTAGCTTTGGCCACGTTTGAAGCACCTCCATGCTGTAAAAGTGTTAGAACAGCATAACCAGCTATCTCCACACCAATAGAATAATACACTATTGTTATCATATTATGGTACTGTTACTTGCTAAGATTAGAGTATTATTGTGAACTCTTAATACTAATGAAATCATCATCTGCAAGGTCAGTATAACATGAACGTTGAATTTACAAAGTGATAAAAATGAGTTGATTATATATAAAATTTAAAATTTTGTCTTAATGAAATTTGAATAACATACAATCGTTAATTTAAAACAATTTTACCACATAAAAATTAGCAATGAAAACAGTATAAATATTTATCTTAAAATGGTACTATACAAAGTACTTTAACTAACCTGAGTTGAATGAAAGCCACCTCGATAGTTTTGTTGTTTAGCCAACCAACGAATGATAGGAGTAGCTTTGGCCATGTTTGAAGCACCTCCATGCTGTAAAAGTGTTAGAACAGCATAACCAGCTATCTCCACACCAATAGAATTTCCCCAGTAATAAGGACTACTAGATGGAGATTTCCAGAAAGTTTTACCACCTAAAAGAAAAATAAAAGAACAATGTTACTTATGATAGGTAGTTTACTCTCATTGGAATTTAATGAAACTTCAAACATAGGTTTAAAAAGCAAGTACATCCAAGTTAGTAAACTTGAACAGTACAAAACTAACCTTCAGTAATTGCTCTCTCTTCCAGTTTTGCTAGGTAGTCCTTTGCTGATGGATGGCCTGCAAGTGAAGTTGCATATGCAAACAGGGCAAGGGAATAGGTACTTGGATTAGATAATGCATTGAGACATCTCACACCTTGATTGATAACAGTTTCATTTTTGTAACCTGCTTCCAAAAGTGAAATTAATACATAAGCAGTGAGAGGTGCAGGAGTTTCATCATTGGAGCTTATTCCACCCTATAAATAATAGCAATTAAAAACAGAGAAACGGGATTTTAATTTGTTCTGAAAGTGATATGTATTTACTAATTCATATGAAACAATATGCAGCATAACAATTTAACTACCTTTAAAACAAAGTGGAGTAATTTCTTATTATAAACAATGTTATTAAACAGAATGATTGTAAAACTTTTATTAAATGGATAAATTGATACTTTTGAATTTTTTTTTAATAGTATTGAAACAGAAACACTAATTATAATGTAAGTACTCAATACATTTTACAGAACTACCTTTAATGCACTGTTGAAAAGCTTTCCAATTTTTCTGAAACAACCATTAGATTGCTGTCTATTCAAGATCCAATTTTTAGTTATGTCAAGTTTATTTTTATTAATCAGGATGAAATGATCAGCTTGGGCAAATGAGCGGTATACAAAGGTTGTCAGAAATAGGTTTCCCTGTTTGTCACGGTTTCCAAATGCACTGTAAGATCCATCTGGGTGGCGATAGTTCTGTTGTCGAGCATATCCTGCAATGATTTGATGATACTTTGCACAAAAGATTATATAAAGATAACATACTTTTATATGAGTACTTTTAAAATAAGTTTTCTTTGTTAAACATAAATATTTAAGACACAAACTCTGAATGAAAATGAAGATAGAATTATAACAAACAAAAGGTAAAAAAAAAACTGTCACACATAGGAAATTATGTGCAAGTATTTTAATACATAATTTTTTGTGACTTCCTTTTCCATCTAGTTTCTTTTCATTGCTTCCACTTCAATTAACTAACTTCATTAATAGTTTTGTTTTTGGATAAAACAGAAATGACACAAGAAATAACATATTTCAGATAGTGTAGCTGTAGAATATAAAGTTTAGACAATTTATGTTTACTGTATTAACCACAGCACAGATCAAAGAACCGTAACTGTATTTTGTACACTTTTTGAATTCAATGAGCTACGTAAAATAGAATTAAAAACTTGGTATTAACAAAATAAAAATTGAAATTCTATAACATTTAACCCTAAATAAAAAATATAGAAACTCACCTTTCCTCATGTTGTTCAGGGCCTTTTCTTTTATTGAATCAGTTATACTCCCAGTTGCTGTTAGGTAATCTAACACGAATATGTTAGGAACAAACTTGATCATGTTTTGTTCACCACAACCAGTTGGTAATCGTACCAGATGATCGAGATTTTTTATTGCTGGCCCCATGAGGTCTCCTGAAAACAATAAAACAAAATAATGCGACCTACTTTCCTACACTCATACACTAGTTCACAAATCCCTACTCTTTCATGTTTGGTCTAACCAAGTTATAATAATTTAGTGATGAAAAGAACGAAGTTTATCAGGTGCCACCCACCCCCCTGAAAAATCTAGGCATATTGATCACATAGTATTTTCCAGCCTTTATATATAATATACTCATTTTGTATCATTTAATATAAAAAAAATTAACTTCAATAAAAAAAATCAAATTTGATTTTATTTGTTTTAATAGCCATTTTATTAAAAATTCAGATCAATTTCAGCTTTTTAATTTATTGCCCCCCAAAATTTTCTGCATCTCACCACCCCCCAAGTGGAAAACCTGGAAAAAATTGGAAAAAATTTAAATGATTCTTCTTAATAACTAAAGTTTTTTCAAACCTTACATTGCCAAAAAGCATTCAATTCTGCATTGAATTTAAGCTGAACTTCATATTTATTATTGATGTAAATCTATTTACTTTTTGTTTCTCATATACTTAAAACATTTTTTTCAATCTTGCTGCAAAGTATTAACTATGATTTTAATTACTTTAGTGTACTTCAGTGAAATAGTGTTTAATGTGTACTTTAAAATACAGCCTCACAATTGAAAAATAATGTAGAAAGCACTTTTACCATCAATGTGAAGAAAAAACAAAACAAAAACAACTAATATAAGTCATGTAAATAAGTCTGTTTTTTATTTTTATATGAAGTAAAAGATTAGAAAACTTTTGGCAGATTGCTAAAATGTTTTCCACTCAAAAAAAAATCTTAAGTAGGCAATATATTTCTCTTAGAGTAGTTTTAACCCTTAAATGTGGATGAAGGTGAATGCATGTTGTAAGGTTTAATGATTGCAAATTAAACTAATATCTAAAGTATGAATTATTATCTACCTAGAAATTTAAATGTATTAAGACTTTACTTCATAACATCACAGCAAATATGTTTTTACAGAGTAGGTTTAGAATTCAGAAAACAGTGATAATAGCTGCTGTTTTACAAAAAAGGAAATTTCGATACAAATTTCTACACAAATGTACCTTGTGTATATATACACAGTTTTTATTTGTTACCTGTTATAGATACATATCCTCTAGCAGAGCCCTCTACTAAATCTTCAGGTAAGAGAAGGTCTGAAGTAGCAGTAAACTTTCCATTTTGGTCTAATAAAAAGATAAAGTAAGCTCTGTAATACATAAAAACAAAACACAATTACAAGATACTATAATACAAATCTTTTGGTTTGAAAAACAGAAGATTTACAAAATACCCAAACAACAAAAAGAGCTTGCAGAAAATTCTAAGTGTGCAGCTAATCTCAGTGGAGAACTTGAATATGGTTTTTGTTCAGCATTACGAATGTAGACTCTTAGTAGTTTAAGAATAATAACAAAAAGTAAACATTTCTCAAGAATATGTATTTTGAAACTAAATATAATAAACACACACATTTTTGTTTTTTACAATATATCAAATTAGGTAATTGCACCAATCTTAAGTAGTTTTGATTTTGAATAAAACAAGAACTACTTTTTTTCATAAACTCCCTAAAAGTTGTTGAATTGTAGTAACTTTCGTAAAAAATGTTGTGAAACTTCAAAATAGCACCACACTTATTTTGGATAGTATTCTTATGAAGCCAGTACAAATTTTTAACTAATTTATTTACTTTAATTCATAATGTGCCCCCCAGTGGTACAGCAGTATGTCTGTGGACTTACAATGCTAGAAATGGGGTGTCGATACCTGTGGTGGGCAGAGCACAAGATAGCCCATTGTGTAGCTTTGTGCTTAATTCCAAACAAACAAACAAACAATTCATAATGCAACTCAATAGGAACTATATACCTAAGATTACTAAAAAGTTGAGACATAAGTACTGCATAAAGAAAACAAACTTTGACTGGTTAAACATAATAAACCCATAGTAAAAGATGGAAGTCAAAGAAACTCTTAACAAACTTTGAATAAAAAACATTAGTTCAGTTTTATGTTTCTTAAATTTTCTTATACAAAAGCAATTAAGGTCGTTTAGAACACTATCGTAAATAATAATAATTTTTTTCATAAATTCATACAATGTTAAAGGGACAAAAAGGAGCTTATTAGCTCATCAAGGATGTCCCTTCCAGCTCCAAACTATAATCATCTCCAATCTTTTCTTGAACTCAATTTAATGTTCTGCCTCCACTGACCTTGAAGGCAGGACATTCCAAAAGCCAAGCATCCCACTTGAAAATTAATACTATCTAAACTGCAGACGACTCCTACAGTGCCAAAATATGAATTTATGACCACTTATCCTATAGTTTTCACTGCTAAACACAAAAATGTTTGTTGGATCTATATTATCAATACCCATAATAATCTTAAACACCTCAATCAAATCCCCTCTGACCCTTTTCTTCCCCAGAGATAACAAGTTTAGAAATTTTAGCCTCTCCTCATAGGAAAATCCCACCATCCCAGGTATCATTCTAGTGGTTCTTCTCTGAACCTTCTCCAACAATTCAATGTCCTTCTTAAGGAAGGAAGCCTAAAACTGTGCACAGTACTCTAAATGAGGCCTTACAAGTGGTCTATATGGTAAAACAATAATATCCCTTGTCTTGTATTCAATGTTTCTATAGATGCTACCTAAAATTCTATTATCCCTATTGCTAGCTACAATGCACTGTTTAGATGATTTAAGTGATTTTTCGATCACAACACCAATATTGTTTTCTTCAACCACAGTATTTAATGTATTCCCATTTAAATCATAACAATAATTGGAATTGTGAAAACCTACATGCATCACATTACATTTTGGATAGTTAAACATCATCTGCCACATATTGGTCCAATGCATCAAATGATCTATATCTCCCAGTAAGTCTGCAGCATCTTTGATACAGCTAGCCACCTCAAAAATCTTAATTTTATCTGTAAACTTCAAAATTTTGTAAGTTATTCCAGAGTCAATATCATTAATATAAATCACAAACAGCAGAGGACCCAGCACAAAGCCATGAGACACACCACTTACAACTGTGATCTAGTCAGATTTAACTCCATTTATTACTACTTTCTGCTTTCTACTCTCCAGCCAATCTTCTATCTAATTTAATAACATTCACCCCCACCCATAGATTTAATTCTTGTAACAAGTCTTTTGTGAGGCACCTTATCAAATACTTTCTGAAAATCAAGATAAACCAAATCCACAGTATTTCTTTCATTAACTCTTAAAGTAACCTCCTCAAAGAATGCCAAAAGATTTGTTAAACAAGTCTTTACCTTAATGAAATCATGCTGGCTCTTTGACACTATACCAAACTGCTTTAAGTGCCTGTGCAATGCATCTTTAAACACACTCTCCAAAACCTTTCCAACTACTGATATAAGACTAACTGGCCTATAATTGCCTGGACAATGTTCATCACCTCCTTTAAATATTGGACTAACATAAGTCAACTTCCAATCTTCTAATGCTCTTCCTCTACTCAATGACCTATAAAACATATTAGCTAGCAGTTCACAAATAAAATATTTAAGTTCCTTTAAAACTCTAGGATAAAAGTTGTTTGGTACAGGTTCTCGACTTTACATTTTTCTTATATGTGGATTATAAGTGAAATTGTAATTATCATTAACTTTTAATTGAAGTAAGCTACCTACATAGATTAAATTAAAGAAATTTCAATAGTTAATATAGCTAATTTAATATATTATTCAAATTAGGATTACAGGAAGTCATAAAACAAAAAATCGAACAGTTAGAACATATTAATTATGTTACTGTTAAAATCATTTTATCAGCTTTAATTAATTTTGTATATAACTTACATGGAACCTAAGTTACTTCTAGTAATGTTAGTTATCCCTTGACGAAAGTATAAGTTTAACAACTACCTTTAGGACAAGCAAAGGTACTCCAAGTGTCTTCTTTTGGAAATCCTTCAGGCTAGATAAAAATAAGGTTCTGATAAAACATTCAGTCTTTAAAGAAACATATATACAACAAGAAAAGTAAGACAGACTATTAAATCAAGTTACTGAGCTTCAAACAACATGCAATGGTAAAGTTTATCATTTGTCAATAATTCTATAGCAATACAGATGGACAATTCTAAAATGGTTACATAAATATGTTTACCAGAAAAATGGCTAACAAACTTAAAAAAAAGATATTATTGAAACCCAATGTTTTGGCTTATGCCTTTTTCAAAGTTTACAGCATCACATACAAATACAAACTGATAAATGAAAATATCACATACAACAACTTAAACCTGACTAAGTTGATTCAAACATGTAATGTAACTGAGCCAAGATGGAATAGGTTGCATCTGCCTAAAACCACTAGTACACACACATACACTTTCTTTCAAAACATACACTAAAGCATACTTCAAATTTTACTTGTTTGAAGATGCATTTAAAGAAAAAGTGAAAATAAAAGTAATGTTATAAACCTACTAAAACTTCAAATATTTGCAATGTTGGGACAGTGTAAGCAAAACAATATTAATTTTTTACTTCCTGGTGAATATTTTTACAGATTCATATGTTTTATCAGCAGTGTTACTTGTAGTTCTACTTTATTTTTGGAAAACATCATAAAATAGGAATCCAAAATAGTTGGCAATAAATAATAAATTTAACATCAGAAGTTTATACAGTAACCAAAAGTTATTCATAAACAAATTTAAAGCCTATATATGTTAAACAAGATTTAGTCTTTCCTATAAAAGTAGCAGAGGTTTAGATAAGAATTATAAATTAGGAAGAATTGAGATCTCTTTAAACAACTTTTTAAACTTGTTAAAACAAAAACATTACCTCCACCAACAACTGTCTTGTTGCTGCATCACGTGCTGTGACTGTAGAATAATCTTGATTACCACAAATTGCCTCATTAGGCAGTGAAGTACCATACACAGTCAGATTTACTTGGCCAAGAGATCTTGGTTTAATCATCCAACGAGTTGTGTCACTTTTTCCTCCACATACACAACTGGTATAAGAATTGGTATCATTTTGCATTTCAAACGTATCGCTTTGCTCCAATGACAACTTGATCTATGAAAGAAATATATTTGATTGAAATTCTCCAGAAATTGTATCTTAAGTGCATATAGTTTACAAATAAACTCACCTATCAGTAATTCAGTCACTACTGTTGATTTACAAATCTAACCATGAATATTTCTGAATCACTTATGTATCATCAACTTCTTTAATGCTCACAAACAAATATTCACAGGATTTTAATGGTGTAGTTAAATTGTTTTTTAAGAACAGTTTTTTCTAACAGTAATAGTTCTATTGGTGTAGTATTACAGCCCAAGTCTATAACCAGGGTGAGTTCAGGAGGTGCCAATGGACCCTCCCCACTCCCCTATTAACATTTATTTTTCCTTTCTTTGATGATGGCCTTTCATTATATAATTGCTTTTGTAACACTGTGCATACATGCAGAAATAATTAGAGGAAATTTGCTAGAAATGTTTATTTTCAGTAGTAATAAAGGAACCATTACATATTTCAGAAAGTTTTATTCGTCCCTGGGAACAAAAGTTAAACGTGAAATTAGATCCACTTTGGAACTAAAAGACCCCCCCACACACACACACTTCCAAACTTAGCTATGTGCTCGTAACAGCCTACCTAAAATGAAATAAAATAACAAACATTATGAAATTTCACAAGTAAGAAAACAAATTTTTATTTAAAAATTAAAGTTATGTTGTAATTTGATACTGCAAATTGTTTGTTATAGCTTACACTGTGGGTTACCTGCACTACATACATATTTTTACTTTAAACTGAAATTAGTAAGACACTGCAGTAAGTATCTATCAGAAATACATTTTCAATGTAGGAAAATTATAATTTTTCCTATGATATCTAACCTAGTCTCACATAATAGCTAGAATCCCACACAGAACTGTTAAAAAAATTACCTAGATGAACACCCTTTGGTAAGCAACCATAGAAATCGATTGAAGTGTGAAACCTCAATATAGAGGGGCAAACATGTGGGTAACCACACCATATCTGGAGATGACTCACTGACCATTGTCTGGTGCATCCAATTATGCATTGGATGTGTGTCCTTTGTGCATAATTGGATGCATCAGACAATGGTCAGTGAGTCATCTCCAGTCCAAAGTCAGGTGGCATCAGGTATTTATCCCCTGATCCATGGTAGGAGGAGGATCCCTACCATTTTTAACTCAAGACTAGGAAGCAGAAGGGTTAGAATACCTGGAAAGGCCCCGCTCACCATAGAGTGAGATCCAATGAGGAAAATGTTCCACTTTAATGGAAATAAAGAAACAGAAAAATATTTACCCACTCACAGTTGAACTGAGATATGTAAAAGGGCAATAGGCAGTATTTGGTATCCAGAGGAGGAAGAGATGGCTACATGATGCAGAAAATAAATGATGAAGGTGTGTGGTGTCATTCACATGTCAGCCTGGGTGCTCTCCTCCAATGGGTGACAGAAGTGAACAGCAGGGAAAAGGTGAGATGACAGATCTGGTGAAAGGATAGCTGGAAAATACGATGGGAATCGGCAGACAAGGAAGGATAAACCAACCAAATAAGTTGGTAAAATCAACCTGTAATGGTAACAGGTGAAATGTATTGGGTAGAGCAATGATTAGCAGGAAACAACAAAAATTGTTGTTCCATAAAATAGTTTAAAAAATCAAGGAAACACAAGCAAAGATTAGACACACCTGCACTCTAATATGCCAAACTGAGAAGTAAAAATTGGGCTCCACAGTATAGAGGAAGTCAGCTGTGCCAGGAGGGTGTGTCATACTCCTATTGATGGAGGGCTGTCACATGCTTATTTTCATGCTACAATGCAGCTGTACCATGTGTAAACAGGTAAAGGTAGGTGAGATAATATAGAAGGCAGCACTGAACAAGAAAAGCTATTATGTGAGGAGACATAAAGTATCCTATCAGATTTAAATCTAGTATTGTTATATGCAAAAGAAATTATAATTGAAATAACCTGAATTTTTTTCTTTCTTATTATTTAAATAAGTACAACATCTCAGTTCTTACTGGTAAGCAGTCACTAAGGTAATTGAAGACTGTCACAATGATAGGAACTTTCTCTCCTCGAATCACAGAGTATGGAAGGGTAAAGCTGACAAAGAATGGCTGGAATCCTTTAACAGTTGCTGCCTCTGAAACTCCTAAGCCTGTCTCTTCACTGATACAGATAGCACTGCCAACCCATTCTGTGATTGTATGTGGAATATGATGCTTCAAACTTAGTTTTCCAGTGGCTCTAATAAATTGGAAGGATTAAAAATAAATTCAACAAAACAGTTAGTTTGAATATTTATTCTGACTGTTAAAAACAGTTTCTGGGCTGTAATCAATGTATCTTGATATTTAAATGTGATAATTATAATGTGTATTATATAATTCTATAGGTCAAATACAAATACATTACAGAAATATAGCCCATTAAATCTGCTAATATCAATAACATAAAGTTAGTACTGCATCTTTCATCCTGAATGGCATCTTATGTAGTACTTGGGATAATTAAACAAACTTTTCATAGACTTTCGAATTTCAGTTATAGTCATCATTAATTTTAAATTGGTGACCTAAAAGAGAACCAATTAGCAGCTTCCACTATCTGCATAACTTTATTAATCAAATATTCTGTCAGTCATAATGCCCTAACAGGTTTATATATATATATATATACAGTTTCTCCCTTTTATCGAGTTTTATACTACAGCATCCTACAGTTAGAAAGCATAAAATTACAATAAATTGATTTAGAAATACACAATTTCTTTCACACTGCCTTCATAATTCTTCCAGAGATGTGACAAAAATTATAAATTCAAATGAAATATTAAATATGAAGAAATTAAGCAACATGCGAGTAAACCATAGTTAAATATATTCACCCAATATTCTGTACTTCCCAGAGCCATGTTTCTGGAAAATAAGTCCTTATTTCTACACCTGGCTTTTTAGTTTTTTTTCTTATGCCACCAACTGAACCACTTTTATATCCTGATGCTCCTGCTTTAACTTTTGAAGCACCATAAGCCATAGGAATATGTACTTCTGTAATTAGATCAATGTATTTTCAAGTTAAAAATTAAATATCTAAAAAGAAATCAGATTAATTTGCTGATACATATCAATCAATGCTTTGTAGAACAAATGCATGAGAAAGCTCAATTCTTTCTCAATTATTGCTATTTCCATGTGGTAAAAGTAATTAACTAAAATGGCATGAGTTAAAATCACTTGCCGGAAAATCTAAACATTATAATTTTTATCACTTTTAGTTTTTATCATTATTATTGGTAATGACAAGTACTTTCAATGTATTTAAAAATAAATATCATACTTACAGGATTAAAACTGAAAAAGTATAAAGATATAGTTTACAATATGTCATACCATCAAATTGGGGACATGGTCTTCCACCATCTTCAAAACCTGATGGTTTACAAGGGCGGGTTTCCAGTTCCATATCACTGATCACTACAAGGCCAGCTTCCTAAAGAAACATAATCTTTATATAGTATTTTCAAAAACTATATTTATAACACTGTTAGAGTTTTTGATATTATACTAAAAATTCATATGCAAAAATCCTGTTGCAACCATTAATGATTAAATAAGTTATTGTAATGGACCTTTTTTATGGATCAGCACTGGTATATTAAAAAAACAACATCTTTGTTTTAACATATTTTTAGTTTCTTCTTCATTGTTTATATAAATTTCCTATTTAACCCCTAAAGAAGAGATGCTTATCTTCTAAAAGGTTCTCAAAATATTAGTTCAATGGCTCTATACAGTTATGTTAATTATGCATTTCTTAATAAAAGAAAGGAACTAAAAATATTTAAGTGAAATCAATAAAGCAGCAAGATGGTTCAAGTTGTGTGGCAAATATTTATTAATAGTTTAATCACCAATTCCTATAGAAAAAAATAATTATCTTCTTTCTTTTTCCCCTCTTTTCCTCTATATTTAGGTTTAATGAGAAATGTTTTTTCGTTCTGTTCCAAGATATTTAAAACAACTTACATTGCAGTTTAAATGCAACATGAAACTTTAAAAAATATTAACAATAAACTTACATCAAAAGCAGCGATGGAATCTAAATAATTAGTTGAAGTAAAACCTGATGAAAAGGATCCCCCATGTTCACCTTCAGCTAGAGAAATAAAACAGTAAAACAATGAGAAATATTAATAATATAAAAACACTACCTATCAAAAAATTTAAAAAGCAATTTCTTTGCTCAAACAAATAACTAACCCAAAGACTGTATCTCTTATGATGATACACATATACAAGGCTTGTCAGCAAAATAAAAATATCCCATCCCAATTTCAAAAATAATGATAATGAACAATTCTTCACAAATTACTATCCACCACCCCCACACATAAAAGAACAAAAATATCACATTAATTAAAATTTTGTGAGAACAAACATTTTTTGAACCAAAACTAAATATGAATAATTAGGAGGTATGTTATTTTTGTAAAGGATATTTAATTTTAATAGTAGTAGTATTGCTATAAAAAATTGAGTTCATAACTTATTCTTATTACAGAGTAAATTGCATTGTTATAAATTATTTATAAATAAATATTTCAAAATATTCTCAAAATGCTTGTAGAACAAAATAAAAAGTATATTACATTGTTTGAATTTGTAATCCTCACAATACTTGTAGTCTGGTGTAACCTGTCTTGGCCAATAATAATCATGGCCTCCGAGTTTGTTGAAAACCTAAAGAGAGAGAGAAAAAAACATTATATTTCTTAGATGCAATTGAAAATTGTGTCAAATTGCAATGTATTCCAAGTTAATATTAAAATGTATGCCAATTCAAACAACTGTAGAACTTAATATATATCCCAATGCACAAGAAATATCTCACAAAGCAGGTTGTTCATATCAACAGATTCTAACAGGTAACTTTTCATTTTACAATTTCTCAAGTTTTTAATAAGTTTACCTTCACTTTATTGATGTAACTAATAAAAATATAAAAATTTAAGTTAATTATCATAATTAACTATATGTGTGTTAGTAGGGGTCAAAGTGTGCATCTCTGACCTTCTATATAGCGCCATCCAACTTGGTATTATGAAAGTGATGTCATGGTTAAACTTTTCATGTTACCTTACACATCTGATTTGCAACAGTTTGTGGTAGAGGAGTAAATACCAGATAAAATATACTGGGGTACTGAAAGAAACTTCAAGTATCCAGTAAGAAGGTAGTAGAGTATGCAAAGAGAATATGCAACTGTTACAAAGAACAAAAATATCTTCAATCTTCACATGAACATCACTTTGCACTCTGACTTGCCAGAGTCAGACTGGCTTCATCTTTTAACACAAAAACATTATTAATATGTCCATTTTGGATACAGATGTCTTGTGCTGTTTACTAAAAGCTTTCCACATCTTGGGAAAGTACACCTTGTAAGTTTGGAAATATAGTCAACATTACTTCTCCAGCATGGAGTTAATCCATTGGACCAACCTCTTGCATCATTAGTTAAACATAACTTTCAAACCTTGAAATAGTGAGACATAACATTTAAGGAGTATGAGAAACATGACAGATTTCCACTTGTGTTTACAATTTGATACAAAGTTATTTTATAATGATAATAAAAAAATAACAAGAATATTTGTTTGAAAACTTGGAATAAACATGTTTCCAAATATGTGAGAAAACATGAAAGTGTTATTTAATTTGAAAACGAGATAATTGTTTATAAGTAACTTGAAAAGCAAATAAAATACTAATCATACTTATAATACATTGCTTGGTACATGTTAATTTGAATACATTGTTATGTCCCCTCAACACAATGTATAATCCATATGATGTAATTATTCATTAATTCAATACATACTAAAACCGATTCAAGAACTTGGTACTTGCTAGATTACAGACAAAAAGAAAACAAACCTCCTCTTCAGTTATACGATTATCTGAACTTAATATGTGGACGCTTTTGTCAACAGCTCCAATTCCACAGATAGAATGAGGACTTGCTGTTAGCTTTAGTGTAGACGAAGCACCAGGAAGTACTTTCTCTTCTTGAAATTTAAGACCAACCTGTTTTAAAGTACAACATCTTAAAACCTACAAACTAACAGAAGAAAAATTGGCGTATATAAAAAAGTAGTTACATAAATTATCAAACTTCAGAAAATTTTAAGAAGAAAAATATGATGTAAATATGCATTTAAATAACTATTTCATCATACAGTATATAATCGTATTAACAGTATTATACATTATAGCAAATATAAAAAGACTTAAAGTATTTCAATACATTTCAGTGGAGTTTTTTTTTTCATGTGAATAACAGTTTGCAATTGGGAATTCTTTGCATGAGAAATAGCATTTTTTAAAGTTGTTCTTTCTAAAGTTTATGTTGGATATACCTGACTGTTTCATTTCATGTTTAAGTTTAATGTAAACATTATCAGTTAGATTGTTTACATAGCATGAGTTTTAAAGTAAGTTATTTTGGAAAAGCGATAGATATCTCAAGTTTGCTTATGTAACTGTTTATGAATGATTTGTTGTGTAGTATTTGTAGTGATTTGTTGTATTATTGCATCATGTTTCTAGAACCTTCTGAATGTTTCTCATTGCTTTAAGAGTTTGTAGAACTAGAATGTTATGCCTCAGTTATGCAATATATATATAGGCAACCAAGTTAAAGTATGTACGCAAGTTAATAAAAGGGAAAGTAAAAGTGAAAAAATAGTGAAGTCAGACTGCATGATTGTGAATTTAATCATGTAGCGCATATAGTGGCAATTTTTAAAGTGAAAGTATCACAGCTTGTATTATGATAACATAGATAGAGAAGAAGAATTTGTCTTGCCAAAGGGTGCTTTAAAAAAATTTAACCTACCTGTTTGAACTTGGACTAAAAAAAACAGTTATGTAAAGCTCTTGATACAACTGTGACAACCAATTAATAGTGTAACGAAATTTTATAAATACATCTGACTTGTTTGGAATATGTTATTTTAAAACAAGTGGATTGTGTACTGTATGTTTATTGTTAAGATTTATTACCAGCAAGTCATGTACACCTACTGGTAATAATCTTAGCCTCTATAAAACCTGACAAGTTAACAGAAGCTACTGTCAGCCTTGACACTTAAAGTAATAACACAATGACACTAGGAATTACAGACAAATATTTAAAGTATAATGATTTCAAACCATCAACAATATATTAAAACAAACCTTATAGTATTATATATAAACTTTTTATTACTTTGGTATATAACCCTAATTTATACTTTTAACCCTCTCACTGCAGCTGGGAAGTATATTTCCCAGTGATTTAGACATGCTGTAATATTATTGGTAATACTACATAAAGTGCTACTTTTAAATGCTAGAAAAAATATTACAAATTCATTTTAAAGTTACACAACCAATTCACAGCTACAATACATATTTTGTATGGACATTACTCACATGTTTTATTCGATAATTTAGAGAAAGGTTCAGTATTGAATTTCAAAAGTTTCATAAAAGGAACAAATGTCTGACAAATATATGCTATATTTTGCAAACTGAGTGGTACAAAAATAGGAACAAACATGATCAAACAAAGAATCAGCTTCAAGTTTATAGGTAAATAGGTAGCTTACAATATGTGATCCTGAATAAGAGTGAAATTAATGCTTAAAGGAAATTTCAAAAGCAAATAATAAATCAAGTACACTTTTAATACACATTTTCTGGTAGATATAGGTTTTGAAATACCTTATTATCACTGTTGGATATACAAGACTGTTTAGTGTAAGCTTTATTATTTAGTTTATTTTGTGATTTGATATTTAATGATTGTTTAGTTTTAATGAGAAGAGTGTTGAAGGTTGATTGTTTTATAAGTGTTAGTTGTGACAAATTTCATTATGTAACTCTGTACAAGTCATACATTGTGTATGCAGTTATATTGTTGTACTAGGTTTTGGTAATGTTGTTGATGAAAGGTTACTTGAATCTTGGGTGTTTTTCTTTTTATCTTAAATGACTATTGTTCCATTATATTGTTGCATAGTTTATAGAAAGTTTGAGTGCAAGTTAAGGAGAGAAATGTCAAGTGAGAGATAATTAGATAAATCTAGACTGAGTGATTGGCAGTTTAGCCTTGATGGGGGTAATTTATAAAGAAGCTAGAAGTTTAGTCAGAAAACATTAAGTTAGTGAAAGCAAAGTAAAGTCAAGTGAAGTTCAATCAAAAAAATGTTAGTTAGTTAAAGAAAACGTGAATTAGCCAGTGTGCAAGTGATTAGCCTTAACAGGTGATTCTATAGTGAGTCTCACAGTTGTATTGTAATAACAGGGTTGGGAAAAATAATTTGTCTTGTCATTTGGGCTCTAAAGTAATTGAACCAGCTTATGTGGACTTTGTCAAAAAAAAGAAGACAATTATTTAAAGTTTGAAATACAACTGTGGTAACCCACTGAGTAACATAAGTGAATCTATTGTAGATTGTATGGTAAGAAACAGAGTAGAGAAATATAGTTTGTCTTGTCAATTGGATACTAAAGTAATTGAATCAGCTTGTGTGGAGTTTTGACAAGAAAAAGAGAAATATTTAGAGTTTTAGAAACAACTGTGATATCCTATAGTGTAAGGAATTTTTATACATATGTTTGACTTGTTTTGAATATATTATTTTGAAACAAGTAAATTGTGTACTGTCTGTTTATTGTTCAAATTTATCACCAACAAGTCACCCACACCTACTGTTGGAGAATCAAGGCCCATTCATATATATATTTAAAAACCTCAACAATCACTCACTAACTTTAAAAAATTAGTTCAATTTTTAATGTTACAAAAATAAATGAACACATCATATTATTTTTACTGATGCAATGCCCCCACTTTGAAGATGCTAAGCAGGCTTAATGCTATAAACTTTACTCCATTTACATGTTGAGACAAATGTTATACATTTCTACTTGGTTTAAAGTGAAAAGTAGATACTGATTAACATTAAAAGCTACTCTGTAAAAGATTATATTAGTGATTAATTATTTTTTTCCTCAAAGACATCCTGTTATTCATGTGCTTCTGATGTTTTATTAATATTAATGTGTTCAGGGTTAACTGATGAGACTTACTTGCCCATTGATGTTACTGCTCTCTCCCTGAATCCACCAAATGAACCTGAATGGGAAAACAATGTTATTGTACCTCCTCACATTGGTGAAACCTCATTGACATTCATTCCAAGTTTTGAGATGAATCCTTCTGCTAAAATTCTTGTATTCTATGTCCGAGAAGATGGAGAAACTGTAGCTGATTCAACTAAAATCACTGTAAAGAAATGTCTGCGTAACAAAGTAGGTTACTGATTTTATGGTTCAATATCTTACTTATCTTCTGATAAAAGAAACTCATGTTCAAAAGAACCTGTATCAACAATGAAATTCCTTGCCATGATCTGAAAAAAAAATCAACCAATCAGTTTTAAAGATTTTATATTTCACGTTTTTTCTCTGAAAAATCAGAAAGTTTATGAGTAAACCAATTTGATAAGCTTGTTTATGTGATACAACTTATATCCTAGCTTAAAAACTTATTAGCATAACATTACATATGCTGCTTTTAAATAACAAATTAATAAAAATGTGCCTAATGATGCATTAAAAATGTAATACAAAATCAACATCAAAATAAGTTGACAGTAAATTATGTGTCAATTCTACTATTATTGAATTTAGAAATTGAAAAAATTTCAATCTAGTAAAAAAATTCATATTATGAGGACATTACAACAACCTCATAGTAGAATTTTTGCTTCTTCTCTTCTCCTGTTGTGTATTTAAATTTAACAGTAAGAGGTTTTCCACATTCAATTTCCTCTGTAATAGGTTCCAGTTGAAGATGGCTTCCAGAAGGAGAATACCACGATGCCACGGTGAAGGAATATTGAGGCTGGTTTAGTTTGTTATCACTGTCTTTTCCCTTCTTTTTTTCGTATCTTAATGCTTTAACCTTGGATGAGAACAACAAAAACAAAAGTTATATTTTAGTTTTAGTATTAACAAACTTAATTTCACACACATAAATATAATTTATCCATTGATGGGGACAATATAGAATTTCCCCTGTTTGTCAGATTTCTAACACTTCTATTTTATTTATATAAAAAAAATTGCTTTTTTAGTTCGTTACACTGTTATTGACAATATCTTTAATAACATAGGAGTCAGTACAAAACATTTAAACAAAAAATACTATCAATGTTGTAATTAATCACAATAATTACTGACAGGGTTTCTTAAGTATTTTACATGGAATTAAACTTGTTTTAGAGCTATCTGCTGTGTGCCCTGCAGAGAATCAAACACCACATTTTGTATCGTAAGTCCATAAACTTACTACTATTTGACCTGTGAACGTTTAACATGGAAACAAAAAACGATAGCTACATCCAACTGTTTTGGTCAACTCTTTATACTGTGCTTTAACTGTAACAAGCAAGAACGTAAAAATTATTTAATATGATGCATTATGTAGTCTACATCAGTAGCGAATGATATACATTAAAACAAATTGGTAATTTGAAGACTGACTGACGAAAATGAATAAATATTGCTGCTTTAGCCATTAAGCACTGAGTCTGATAAAATGTATCACTTTCACACTGTTATTTATGTTTAGAAAACGTAATTATCAAATTAGATGTTAAAAATATTCCTTACAAATAATATTTTCTAGTCATTAATATTTCTGCAAACAGATACATTTAATAAAATGGAATTAAAAACAGATCTCTGTAACTGATGACATCTCATTCTGACAGGAGGGAAAAACCCACTACATTTCATTATATTCATATACAAGTAAAAATCAGGACATTTAATTACCTTGAACCTTAATGATGTGATGTCAGGAGTTTGAGGAGGAACAGTAAATTTAATTATTCCTGCTTCATCACTAGTGAATTCTTTACATGCTCTTATTTTTTCTTCCAGCCAACGTTTCCTGTTCCACCTTTCTCTATCAGCAAACCTGCAGAGTTCAATTTGTTCACCTGGTGCTGGAGTTCCATCAGGTTTTTCAACTTTTAGCTAAATAAAGGGTTATGTAAGGCAGTTTTGAAACATTATAGTTTACAAACAACAATTTATTTGAAAACAAATGGATTATCATCAAGTTTTAAAACAAACAAAATAGGAAACAAAGATTATTTTTCAAAAACATTAACTTCCACACAAGTTAATGCTTTAATTCACACATTAAAATTACTAACTGCATATAACTTGTTTCCACTCCACAAAACCTTTAATTATCATTATTATTTTTTTATATATATCTATCACCTTGTCATAAAGTTAGATTGGATTATACCATATGCTTTACAAAATATGGTACAAGAATATGCAAGTAGAGAATTTGAAAGAACATTTTAACTGTTCAGATGGAATTACAAGTAACTATTAAATAGTTGAGAAAATGGAGTTAGTGACACCTAAAATAGAAATTATTTATTAATAAAAGGTTGAAGCACATTTAAGTTTTCAACTGTTTGCATTTGTTGAGACATTATGATGTAAATACTGCCTGATTTTTTTGTCATATTCTTTTCATTTGTAACAAGTTCAGTTGGTATATTACAACAATACTTCAAAATGTATTTAGAAATAAACACATAATTAGATGATAAATACCTTTCCATAAAAAGGAAGACCAGGTTTCAAGTAGCCTTTTCCACTTGTTGGTTCAAGATACATAATACTGAATGGATTGGATGTTCGATAGATTGAATCAGTAGCATTCATTTTAATTCCTGATATGAAATATTTATAAGTATAATATCAGTATAAATACTTATTTACCTAATACTCACATGTATTTGTATAAATATAACTAAAAAATTTTTTTCTCTGTTAATTCCAAATAAACTTACACTTTTTATAAAATAGCTTTAACTTGAAAGCAATACCAAAATGGTTTTAAATTAACTTACATAATTGCAGAGCTCAATTGGTCAGCTGGGTTAGAAAAGGAGAGGTAATTAAGCATTGGCCAAACAAATATTTTATGGAAAACATGTACAAGTATTCCCCCTTTATAAAATATAAGCACTTAACAATATTATATATATATGCAATATTAAACAATCAAGGTATTCTAATCCACACACGCAGCTTGAGGTTTCACTAAGTGCTTAAAAGATTCAGGGCTTGGGCCAATAGAAGTGAGAATTTTTAATGTTTCAGTAC